TTTCAGCTGACGGAGAGAAGTTTGAACATGGAAAATAAATTCGCTTGTTATAATTAACTGTTTTTTTTTCTTTCTAATATAGTTTTTTCACGTCACAGTGTAGGAAATCGCGAACAAATAAATGCACATTTAAAACGTTGTGTACTTAACATTCATGTCCACGAGAGTTTTTTTTTTTTCTTTTACTAAATTGATGATACTCTACAAATTTTAAGTTCCCTTTTCCTCCTATCGCATACCATTTTCGAAATAGGAACGTTAACTCCGCTGTTTTCTAGCAGGTGACTCTGTAAGCAGTAGCGCATAGCCACTATATTATACCTAGACACCACTTTTATGACTAAAATCTGAAGCCGTGCGCAGTTAAATGGGTGTTACTGGATTTTTATGGACAGTCTGTACATTACTTTTCTAATAAATCTGAAGAATGATATCTAAACACAAATTTTACATATCTTATCCAGTCTGCTCAGCTAATAAATCTCCTCTATTAGAAAAGTACTTGTCAAGCCTAAATATAAGGGAAATAAACAAGTAATGTAGTATTTGTACATAACAGCATTTGTTTAATATTAATCAATTGACTGCTAACGCTGAATTTATGTAAATTTTGGAAATGATGCTGACCACTTTTTTGTATAGCATTCTTGTTTGGAAGGTCAAACCAAAAACTATAAGGGTTGTGTATTTGGCACTGCAATTTATTACAGTTTAGGAAAGTAATAATAGAACAAAAGTAACAAAAGAAGCATTTGTGTTGTTTATCCAGCTGCATTAGATATCCGTAAATGCGAAAGATGATTTGACAGGTTCAGGTCGAATAATTTTGATTTTTACGATTCGCTTCATTTGGAAAAACCAGTGTCTCTTGATAATGGTGGTATCAAAAGGAAGGAAGAAATGGAAGCAAGCCTTTTTCAAACAATAGACAAGTTGTCGAATAATTTTAGTACGCATTGATCAACCATTCAAGAACAGCAGCAGACTGACAGAGTTTAACGAAAAAATATTTGGGTTTCACACACTAATAGAAGAAAACAAAGTTAATCATTCAATCACCTATAATTTGTTGCAGTGATAATAACGAAGATGCATTTTGTGATTGTGGTGGTCACTAGAGATGTGAAATGGGCTCTCTGTCACAATCCCACAAAAACAGGCCTTATATATTAGATTTTTTTTTGTGTCTGCTTGATGAAATACTTGGAGCATAATTCACTTTGAGGGAGAAGAACCAGGTAAAAGCTTACTGCCAGACGATTCCGTGAAGCTTAGCTATTCGCCTAGTGGGCGGTATTTTGTCTTCTTTTAACACTAATTCACCACTACACTTTTATCCTGGGATTTATCTGATTTAATGGTACAGGATGCCACAGGAAGCGCACATTCAGCAAATGAAAGAGCCAGTTTTCGACATAGTGCAGCTACGATTTTCTGCTTGAAAAATACCATTGAAAAATGGTATTTTTCAAGCAGTAGAACCAGTAGACTCGTCGAACTGACCAATCACGAAAGAAAAAATCTATCATCATCAATGCGCCAAGCTTAAATGAACAGTGCGGCTGACGATCTAAACTAGAGCTCCCTAGACAGAGAGGGCCTCGGGGCTGACAAAAAACACGACACGACATTTTCACTAAAGAAAGTTTTTCTAGGTGATACTATTGTTGTTATTATATGATGTGAAGAAAAAATTTAAAATAAAGAGGGATTTTAAGGTGGAAATAAAGAACACTATGCAGAGGAAATGCAGAGGAAAAATTTAACAAACTAACTTACTTTATCGTTTATCCATTTTAAGAAACGAAATGGTATTCATATTGTTAGTTTTGCTGGTGAATCTGCTGGTACAGATATAGAGGCTGGTTCAACATTTTCGAAAGAATTAGGTGAAATCCCAGAAGTGATTCAATGCTGGTTTGCAATATAGTGGTTACAAATTCAATGCCATTCAGTGGTTACAAATTCAGTGCAATTCAATGGTTGCAAATTCAGTGTAATTCAGTAATTACGAATTCAATGCAATTCAGTGGTTACAAATTGAATGCAATTCAATGGTTACAAACTGAATGCAATTCAGTAGTTACAAATTCGATTCCGTTCAATGATTACAGATTCAGTACAATTCAGTAGTCACAATTTTAGTGCAATCCAATGGTTATAAATGCAATTGAATGCTTATAATGCAGTTCAATGGTTTCACAGATAATTCAATGTTGATAAAATGGGTTTACTCTGGAAAACATACTTTGAGAATCTTCATGAAATAAAAAATCGTGCCTTTGATATGAAATTTAAAAAAAAAACACTTTATACTGTTATTAGATAAAAACGTGGAAATGCAACAGAAAATTTCAAAATAAAACCGGCTTCGAGCGGAAAACTCTAAAACTCTTAAAAATTATCAAAAATTTATTTCGCAGTGTTGTGGTGTTCAAATGAGAACGAAAGATCACAAAAGTTTTATTTGAAAATTGATTTACCAACTATTTTTGCTTTACAATAACAGCCCGTTACTGCCGAGGAAATGTATTAGATTTAAATATTTTACTGATGTTAGATAATGCCCCAGGTCAAGCATCTGATCTATGATTTAAACGAAACTGTAAAATTAACTTATCCTTCATTAAATACGACTTAATTGATAAAACTAATAAATTAAGATATGATTGTGTCATTTAAGACCTATTACTTGCGTAGTAGGTTTTCGCAAGCCAGCAACAGGGGGAAGTGCGAAGCTACAATTGGAAGAAATGGGCTTACTTTAACGGAATTGTCGAAATAGAATATCTCAAACTTTATCAAAAATATAGGCGAAATATTGCAGGTAATTCATGCGAAGTATTGCATGAATTAACGGCAAGAAATATGCTGCCTGTATAGAAGCATATATCGCACTCAACGAATAATGTCATTAGTTTTGAAACTCATTTTCTGAAGTGACTAATCACCTAGTGGAAAATTTATAAGTTAAGTAATTTCAGGAAGTTAGATTTGACAACTTAATTGAATGCATCAAATCGGATATTAATGAAATAAACAATGAAACACTCATTAATATAGATGAACACTTGCCCAATGAAAAACAAGGGGACAACTGGGACAATGACGACTGTATTGAAGTACCTGTCCGAAAATTAATAGTTAAGCAACTATCAAAAATTATTAGAATGCTTGATACCTTGTCAAAGAATACTACAAAAACTGATCACAACATCAAACAAAGTTTTGAAATGCACGGCATGATAAACAGTTAAATTCTTTGCTATAAAAAAATTTACGAAGAGAAAGGGCAAAAAAGAAAAAAATGCGCAGATAGCAATATCGCAGGTTTTAGAAAATAAAAAATTAACTATGGAAAATATTTTTTTTAAAAAGTTTTCCGAAGATATTTGAATTTATTAATCGCGTTCCGTTTATTAAAAACCAGGGAGAAAAAAACAATTGGAGCAAATGCAGGCAAAAAAGGAGCAATTTTTTTTTTTTTTGCTTGCATTTAGTTCCTCCGTTAGTCCGGTTTTAAATACTTCAGGATACTGGCGGAAACAGATACCCGGCCTTATACGAAGTAGTTCTCTATAAGTAGTATTAAATAAAAAGTTCTAGAGATGCCACAATAAGGAATATTAAACTAAAAAGCTCTGGTGTTTCGATTTAAGTTTCAATATTTTTGCAAAATAAGCCTTCTTCAGGGGCGTAGCTAGAGTTTCCAGCGCCCGAGGCAACTGAAGAATTTGCGCCCCTTTCTGTGTGCCAAGGATGGAAAACATTTCATTAAAAAATTTCGTAGCATCAATTTGGCGCCCCTTGGATGCTGCGCCCGGGGACAGATGTCCCCCCTTGCCCCCCTAGCTACGCCACTGGCCTTCTTTCTTATGTTTTATTGTAAATTGTAGATTAAATAGTAGCACATAGAATAGTTTGGTTTTTCTACTAGTTGCCTGCATAAAAATCCTCACCATTGATATTATCTAAGTAACATTTTTAAGTTATATTATTTTATATTTCAGTGTTTGTAGATATATTCAATGACAGTGCTGGAGAAAATATAGCGAACAATTCAAATCTCTTAAGCAAACAAAAATAAAATAGAACAAAATAAAACTTAAAAAAAAAGGATACAGCCACATTAAAGAAATTTTTTTCCATTCGAAAGCAAGCAGCAAACACGCTGCGTAAAATCCTTTATTTATTCTTTCTGTTCCAGATCAAAGACTTTTCAGACTTTCACCACAAATGTTTTCTTACTTAAGAAAGCAGGAATCAGTTTGCTAATGAGGCAAGGAGAATGGGCGTGAGTGCGTATACATAATGACAGAGATTTTCAGGTCCATGTCCAAAACAAGGCACCAGCACCGTGTCAAGATTTGAAAAAACTTACTTAAACAAACATCAACACTGATGAATATCTTTTTTGTTTGCATAAGTTCGATGAAGAATAATTTAATATAAGAACGGAAGGTGGAGTTATATTACATAACCATGCAACAAATGCATGTACCTCACTCACTAGTCACTTATATATAAAAAGAAATCTTTCTTTCTGCAAATTTCATGCTAATAACATCGAAATGTACGAACGCAATGTTGCTTCGTGCTTTGTACAATGGTTTGTAGCATAAGATACAAATCTGATATATCGTATGCTTTGTTGTAATCAAATAACCTACCCTAAATTTACTCAAAATATTATTCAAATTGAAATTATTAGTCGCCAAAATGACCATTTGTGTTTTATATCTTCTGTCAGAGTAGGGTTAAAATATTATTAAAATCATTCAATAACATACTCTGAAAATTATTCTTTACCTTATTCTGAGATGTACTTAATTATTTTATTACGTGTCTAGAATAAACATTTAAAGAAATCAAGCCAGTAACGAACTTTCTCGAACCAAATGTGTGTCATTTTTCTATTACAGTCCGATTCATTAACTTTCTTTAAAAATTCTAGTTCAGAGCTTTATGAATTCTCTATATCTGAAGACAAAATATTACAGGTTTGACAGAACAAACTGTAAGTCGGGAAGGTTGTTCTCCTCCGGAAGTAATCGTAAATGGTAGTGTTGTGGCGGAAAATAATAACGACTTTTCCACCGTCCAGGAGGTCCAGTTCGTCGGACTGGTTGGTAGACGTGACCAGAAAAGAGTTTGCAAGATCAAGTGCCTGAATGGAGTTTGGGTCGGACCTTATTGCACTGAAGGTATTAATTACTCTGATAATTATGGCTAAATTCTATTGAAACTGTTATAGTACGGGAGATTCTTCTACACAGAACTATAATATTAAGTTTACTAAAATATTTTCCGCTTTCCTAGTTTCCCTCTTCGAAATTTTCATTTTTTATTTCCAAATTTTCCTCTTTAGTATAGTTTTCAATGATTAAAATGCATATTTAATGGAATTGTTAAATTAAAAATTTACACTTTCTATGTTGATTTAATAGTCCTTCTCTTCAAAGTACATTCAATTATATAAAATAATAATTCAATAAATAACATTCTTCAAAATGCTATATATTTAAAACTGCATCTTTTTTTTTTCTATTTACTGTTCATGTTTGAAATACTAAGGATGAATACAGCTTTATAATATATTAGTTTTGATTACGTATTTAAACTTTAAATTCACAAGCTTATTTTATTATTATATTATCATTCAAAATATTCAAACTTACATTTATAACTAAAATTATTTGTCAATATTGTTGAGTATGGTGCACAAAATTACACCCAAGAAAATAAGAAACTGAATTAAATAAACAAACTTCTGTAATTTATAAATAAAATCTGTGAAGAAATGCAAAACCTTGTGCCTAAAGTCCTCAGTTTTACGAAACTGAAACTTATATAAATTTATGGTTGGTTTGAAAACTGTTAATGTAAAATGCAATGACATACTACTAATAACTAAAAGAAAGTATTGTGTTTATAGCCTTTACTAATATATCATAGTTCGGAATTCAGTAAAATTTCATATTTTCTGTCAAGAATTTTAACACAGAAAGCGAAAAAGGAAGTAACATTTAATAATAACGACATATAACGTTTACGTTAATTTAGTTCGTAATTTCATATATATGAATACTGGAACAACTCATAGTTTAAAAAAATATCAATGAAAATCGAATTCTAAATGTTAGTTTTTAATGATAATAATAATAATAGCAGCAATTATTTTGATAGCCAGTAACATTTTAATAATAGATCCTATGTAAAATAATAATAAATTTTCTAGCAACAACAATACATACATATATATATATATAAATGTTAATTAAATAATAATAAAATAGAGAAGAAAATTTTAGAAATTAATTGAATATTACAAGAATAAAAATATTCAAAATCAATTACTTTAAAAATGATTATAAAATATGAATATATATAAAATTCCAAAACCTACCAGAATTAGAGGAGCGACAACCCAGATTAGATTATTTTTTGAAGCAATTCACTTCTCATGGAATCTCTGTGATGCTTTAAAAATAATCTTTGACATTTATCCTGAGGAAAAGCTTTCAAATTATTCCATGACTTTGTTCTTTTCAGTGTAAAACATTTCGTGCAAAAACCAGTTCTCAATGAAATCATTCCTTTGTCAGACATTTGACCTTGAAATTTAATAACAAAATGAGTGACAATCATCTTTCTGACGTGAATGGTAAAACGCTTTGACGTTGCATAACAGCATGTTCAGAATGGAAACTTTTACATCTGTTCTTATTCATTCAAACATTGTTATTATGAAAATTCTGAATACTTTGTTTGCAATCTTTTTTCATTTTACATCCACCGTCATAGTATAAATCATTCATTAACATCAATTAGAATTAACTTTTACTTTAATTGTTCAAGGGAAATCTGTAGAGAATTTCATAGGGTTTCGAAACCACCGTTAAATACGCAACTGAATTTTATTTCTGAATTTTATATAACTGTAGTAAGGCTCAAAATGTCATTATTCATAGTGGAAAAAAGTCTTATTTTCAGCAGGAATCGTAAAATCGTAAATCTTCCAGATATTTCTTCTCATTTATCAGTAGAAGAAACTTCATTTATTCTAATAATAAATAGCCTTTATATTATTATAACAGTATATGATATTTTTAAAACATATTTCATTCCTTAGGAATTTCCGCCATCATCATTTATTAAATTACATAAATTTGTATTTTCCGAGTTTCAGTTTTAATTCACATTAGGGTAGTCTACTTTATCTTTCACTGTCATTAAATAGAAATTATAATAAAATTATTTTAGTTCATCCCAAATTTTTAATGCAGGCTTTCGAAATATGTTTTTTAATAATATAACAAAACTTTTAAATGAAATATATTAATGAAACCACTTTTCTTTCACAGACATTGCACAAAATAATTCCTTAGAAAAATACTTTAATCAAACATTTTGTAGACAATATATATGTATACACGTACTGAGTGACCAAAATATTAATGACACCCACTTTTTTAACCTGAACCAATCGGCGAAGGATATAATCCAGAAATTGCTTACATTATGCATGCTTATCTTAAAACTCCTGACTTATATAAAAGTAATTCTTTTGAACAAGGCATTATCGTGGGTACAAGAGAGCTCGATTCAAACCTCTTTGAAATGGTTAGTTCTCTAGGCTATCTCGAACAGCAATATTTAAAGAGTGATGGTTAAGTGAAAAACATTTTAAACTGCAAGGGCTATTTCAGACGGAAAATGATGGTGAAAGAAAAAGGTGAAACGTAGCTAGTAATAATTGCCACAGTAACACCAGGGTAAAAATACAACAGCATAATAACTTGATACAGTTCAGGTACATCACAACTTCGAAAGCACAACACGGAGAAAGTTGGAACGAGAAGTTTTTAACAGTAGAAGATCATCAATTTGCCTATGCTACCATTTATAAATAGAAACATCAGGTTACTATGAACCTAGGAGCACCAAAACTGGGCCCTTGATTAATGGAAAAAAATTGCATGGTCTACTGATTCTCGATTTCTGCTCTATTATGCAAATGCTAAATCAGAATATGATCAAAACAGAACGAATTCATGGACCCCCTATAGACTAATGAAAAATATTTAAGCTGGTAATCGTGAAATTATGGTCTGTGGAATATTTTTCCTGAGTACAGTGAGTTTCGGAGTTCCTTAATGCATATGAAAATAGTTCTCAACACTACAGGTTATCTCAGTATCGTTGCTGATCACATATGCTTGTTTTTCGCTGAGAAATTCTCTGATGAAAATAGTCACTTTCAGCAGCACAATGCGCCTTGTCGGCATATATGGTTGATATCAAATTCATTAGAAGAGAATGATTCGAAGTCTCAATTGCTTTCTAGCCTAGCTCAGATTGTTAATCTCAGTCCTATTCAGCATTCGTGGAACTAACAAAGAAAATTTCTTCAAAACTTGGAAAGGCCACTCATCCAATCTGAACGAAATTAAGCAGGTATTATGTCAGCATGAGTAATATTCCGCAGTGATGATATCAGCACCTTTATAGCCAAAAAATATTGGTTGGGATTGAAGCTAAAAGTACAACTTTGTATGGCTACTGAGTAAATAAAGTATTTAAAGACAAAAAAATTATACTAAAAAATAATAGATAAAGTTTTTAAAGACAAGTTTAAAACGTCTATTGGTAAATATAAAATGTTCAAAATTCTGTTGCTCAAAGTTGAAAATTCTGTTAATAAAGATAAAAACTTCAGTTCAAAATGTTAAGCAGAAACAGATAATAATCAACATACTGACCGTTTATTCAGGTAAGAATATATAACATTTTAATAAGATCAAAATTCATAAAAACGGCAGTAAACAAAATCAAAATGGGGAAATTACCTCATATGCCTTATTTTACAAGTACCATTGTAAAATAAGCCAAGCAATCCACATTTTTGCAGTAATATTGTAACATCTGTTCGGGATTCAAACTAACTTTATGATGTGAATTATCATAAAATCAAGCTGTTGCGTTAGTTCGGCGAAGTGAATTATCACTATCAGAGTATTTAACCATCAGACAAATAGAGACGAGTATTTAAGTTTATTCTAACTAATCACTTGTGAGTGTTTAAATTAAAACATACAAACATAAAGCTACCAGACAGCCTGGACATCCTTTTGATACAAAGCTTCCTTTCTTAAACAATAGATATAAATTCAACACTTTTAATTTGAACTAGGCAGAGAGTACAAGAGTTTCTAGATCGCGACATAATTTCGAATACATACAACAATATCTAACGTATTTCCTACAAGAACAGCTTTAGCGTCGCCAACAGTCTTTCTCCTATAGACAAACCAAATTCTCTCACTGCTATTCATAAAATTCTGCACTTTACAGTGAAACTGCTTGCCTCACAAAATCTACATAAATTCTCTAATAAGCTTACCTCTTGACGACAAGATGCAAAAAGGAAAGAATTAAATTACTATATAATATTTCGTTAGGCCACGATATATTAAATTAGATATTACTGCGAAAAGAAATTGACTGCGCATCAGGAAGTCAAATGCAAGATACAATCAAAATAAAAACAAAAAAATGTGAAAATCAGTTCTAAAACAAATTTAAATAATTACGAAAATCAAACCTGAAAAGGTTCAGATTTTAAGGATCGCACGAAAAGGTTCTTTTAAATAAGTTGTATGGTTTAAATGGAATTGTATAGCTTAATCTCTTGTTTCCTGTAGTCATATTTTCCAGGGTATTTTTTTAAACAAATAGTTTTAAGCACCGATACCGACACGTTTATACACAGTAGCACCGATACCGACACGTGTGTCGGCTGAGTCAAAGAAAGTCTATGTGAAGAAGGAAAGGCTCCATAGACGTAATGTGACCGTCGAACCTGTTCGAACTTCGACATCATTAATAACAAGTTTAAAATTTCACATTAATTCTGAACTTCGACATCATTAATAACAAAGTTTAAAGTTTAATATGGTTTATTAGTAGAGATTATTACTGGATATGGCTCAGAAGGAATAGCGAAATATTTTACAGGATATTAGATGAATATACATTTAGACTAGAATGAGAAAAGTTCATATCTTCTGTATACTTAAAAAGTGAAAAAATATGTACTGTAATTCTATAAAAATATTTCATGTTATTGCATGATTACATTACATTTCATGTGTTCATGCTTAAGTCAGATATAATAAGTAAATGCAATTTTATTTAAATCTGTCAGATTAAAAATTTAAAAATAATATTCTTAAGAACAGTATCTATTGCTTTTAACCATTTTGTTAATAAAAAAATAATATCTTCCACTTTTCCGAATGGCAATAGACTCGAATGAAAAACAACACAAAATCAGGAAATCAAGTAAACAACACAAAATCATGTTTCGAGACTAACAGACCTTTTAAGCTAAAACTAAGAGGTAATGGATATTGACTGGAACAATTTAAACCTTATTCAATAGGGATCGCATAATAATCAATTCAGTCAATAGGCTATATTTCTGATGATCTGTCATGAACTAGTGACTAGCAAAATCAATATGTGTCAAAATTCTAATTAAACAGCAGTTAAATTACACCAAAAATATTATCTGTTATCAAACTTTATTTCTATTTTTAGCTTAATTTAGTTAAATTATTATTTTGACGCATTTACCAACGTTGCAAATCATTAAATGCCTTTCAAGATAAACTATGAAAAACAACCCGTTCATTTATTATTATAATTTAGTGCTCTATGAAGAAAACATAATATTCAGATTAACATTCTTTATGTCTTACTTTTCATTCTTATTTTCTCTCTGTCTTGCATTTGCCGTACCTAAGTTCTATTGACAGTGAGAAGTATCTCATTTTAGATTCCACATGTATTGCTTTGTTTAGTATTTTAATGCAAACAATGCATAGAAATTTTCTTATTTTATTTTCGTTTTTGCTCTTTTATTAGTACTTGAAATTTCTAAGGCTTTTTGTTTCATTATGGAGGATTGTTATATTGGGTATCTTCTTTTTTCAATTAAAATTTTCAATCATGCATATGAAAGAGTTCTCTGGCTCTCTCTGTAGATAATTTAATGCTATGAATATTGAATTAAATCACAAGAGCTAAAACGAAGACTTAATAGCAATTCCAGTATCATTTAACGAAATAAAATTACATTTAATAGTAGTAAATTGTATACAGCACCGCTTTCCTGTCAAAGTATCTGAAGTTCTGTACTTGCCGAAAGCTGATGAGCAAAGGCCCTCTCAGTGCAAGAGAACAGCGTTTTCCCTACTTCTTCATTCCTTTCTGGATCTTGTAATTTCGAATCATTATAACAGAAATTAAATTTTCTAATTCTGCTAATTAGGAGAGTGTGATAACCTGACTCATTATTCATACGGCTAACGAAAGCAAAAGAGAAGAAATATTTATACCAACAAAACTTTTGAGCACAGATCTTACAAAAGATGGAACTCTAAATCTTAAAAAAATTAATAAAATTCATGAATGTGCAAAATGTGGAGTAGCAACGGAACTCTTTCTACCCATGGGTAAGCTTAGACAGTATCATATAATAATATTCATTGATTTTGAAGCTAAAGCAATTATTCTAAATTTACGATAAAGCGTGAATGTGTGAGTGAGTTTGTAACGGTTTTACGTTATTTTATTCTCCGTCTCATGAAACTTGTACAGGATCAGAAGCATTTGTTCTGTCGTCGTTATGACGCAGTTCCATATTGCATCACTTGCACAATGCAAGTTGCTTGTGAACTGTTTTAGTTAATTTTTTACTTTTATTTCCATTGATAAACAAGCATATAGCATTAAAAGTTCAAATTTTCCTAGTTTCATTCGTTTATTTTATACTAATTAATTTTACAATAAGGTTTTGAAATTATCATGAAAACACCATTCAGCCAAGCGTCTCTTTAGAACTTCCCCTATCATCGCTTCGAAAAGAAATATTCAGGTCTTTAATTAGCTGAATTATTTGACATTACTATAGACAGGCATGACATTTAAATTCTGCAATAAATGTATAGTATGTAACATATATAACATATGCGATAAGCAAATCATGTAGATTTTTGTGTTCTCCTTCCCTTATTCTCAATGAGTAACGCTCATTTGTATTCAGTGGATAAATGTTATTAAATCCTTTTAGGTGTTCTGTTGAATACGGAACTCATTCATTCACGATTACATTCAAAGAATACAGAACAATTGTTGTCATAATGTTTACTAAGCATCAACAGTTGAAGATTCAAATAGATCCTCGTACCATCCTTCGCTAATCATTGTTTAGTTTAGGATATTATTTTGAATAGCACTTTTATTTGTAGTTTATCATATTGAGGATTAAAAGTGAAAATTTCTCCATGTTAATAACACATATTTATAATGCAGATGTATTATAGGTGCAATTTGAGTTTTATGAACTTTGAAATCCATAAAGTCAAGCACAAATATCTCATCAGCGACATTATCATATCACTTTATAATTCCGTTTTGAATAAAATGCTGTTTTCAGGGAAAAGAATTTTGTTTAATCCATAATCTATGCACGACTAATACTTGTTTATACGTGAAAAGAGCAATTTTATAGAAGCAAGTAACATACACTTAAATATTTGAAACGAATTTTTACACGATTTTGGCTTTATGTGAGTTAGATACAAGGTCCAATTCCTAAAAAACAACTTTTTAACAATCCTAATTTCAGTTTACTTCTGAAAATATATTATTGCTTGTGATTATGTTTTCGGAAGTGCTTTTTGGCTTACGAAATGTACTAAGTACAATTTTCGTTCATCAAATTGTCAAAATTAAATCTTCACTGTTTTGCTAGAGAATAAGTTTTCTTTTCATTATTCTATAAAATCGATAAAAATTCTTTCTTTTTGAAATCGAAACCTTACTTTAATGTAATTAAGACACAAAAACACGCCGAATAAATACTAATTCAGAAGTCAAACAACAAAAATCAGCGTTATATTTACAAAATTTTGACAGGACTAGTTTCGATGGTTTTACCGAACCACCATCTTCAGCTGCAAAACCGCAAATGAACAAGATAGGAAATAATGATTAGATATGGAAATAATGATAAGATAAGAAAGCCTGGACAAGAATAAGCAAGTGGCGCCATCTGTTGGCGAAACCAGAACTAAAACATAATTTCTCTAAAAGCCGAAGGCAAGATTTGGATTGGAATTAGGATCGTTAACTAGAACAGAAAGATTTTTATTTGAATGTGAAATGCCTCTAGAAAATCCAGTTCTCCAATGGAAGATGTTTTTTGAATAATTTTGGCAGCAGAAAAATTGAAAGTGTGATTTTCGGACCAACAATGTTGAGCAACAGAAGACTTCTGTGTTTCCTTTTTTCTAACTGTGTTTCCTTTCTTCTTACATGAATGTGCTCTCAAGCAAATTTCATAAATTTATAGAATCAAAAATGTGTTCGTAGATTTAAATGCATAAAAACCCAACAATGGTTTGACTATAATTTGCTTGAAATCAACTTACTGTTTATGTTTATTCATATCTGGAACCACTTATCTATTTTTATCGCTTTCTGTCTCCCTTTTTTCAAGAGGTCATCTTCTCTGTAAAAATCAGAATAAGCATCTAGCATAAAAGTGCAAAATTTTAATATCCTTATTATAAATGAAAATTATATTTAAGTTCATTTTAGTATTGAAATGTTGGCTAGAAACCTCTTTGTTTTTGACACCAGATGGAAAAACCCTGAAACAAATAATGCGCCGCTGTACTATCCGGTTGACTGACGCTGAGCTTATCGGAGTTACAGATGACGGCCGGACGTTAATGCCTGACGTAGAAATATCTCTTCCCCATGACTCGGAGATTCATCTACGCTGCGTGGAGCCAGGTCTGTACAAATTTATCGGCAATGACACTCTTTTCTGCGATGATGGAACGTGGACAGACGACTTACCATACTGCGTCGCCACTACCATGCATCGTAATTTCTCAAGTAAGTTTACGTCCCAAATTTTCTATCAGTAATAAACATTTTCGTCATTTTATATTGAAAATCATCCGCTAGTTGAACCGTTCGACGTTACTGACTTTGTTCTCTAAATGCAGAACATATGTAACATATACACATGTTTGGCTTCAAGCGTTGGCGACATAGGCAGCCGCCTAAGTCGCTGATTTACAAGCGATGATATTCTTACGTACGACAATTAAATAAAGATATATTTTTCTTTGAGAATTGATAATTTGCGTGGGAAATTAACTCCTAGAGTACCAAAATTGCTGGACCCGAGCTTGCATTCACGCATTACTATTTTTTTTTTTTTTTTTACTTATTACGTGCTCCGCCCTTAGGCACTACACGGAAAGAGAGGATACCCATGTAAGTCTTTGTAAGGGAAACTGGTTCGCATCCACGTTACACATGGGGAAAACCACGAAAACGCCCATGCAGTCAGACCATTCGGCGGGACTCGAACCCGGGACCGGATTACCACTTTTCAGCGGCTTTTACCGCTCGGCCGCTGGTGACCCACGTATTACTATGGCTCAAATATAAGATGATCCTGTATATTTTAAAAGTTCTATAACATAAAAAATTACTCTTTTTAAGAATGTTCTCATATATATACATGAATCTGTTATTTTGAAAGATTGTGTGAAAGATAGGTATTTTACAGGAAATAGAATTAAATAGTCTAAATATTGCAGTTGGTGTAAAAATAAATAATCATGTTAAATTTCAACTCTAATATTAAGGGAGTAATAGAAAATTAGTTTAACATATTTTCTTTTTCTATATAATTTTATTTTTTCTTTTATTTTAAAAGGTCTTGTAATCTTAACATTAAGATAAATATATGTGAGGTAGATATAACTGTGTAATATACCTCTAAATTACTATTCATATTCTGACTATTATCCCACATGAAATGAACTGGCAATAATTATATTAGAATTTTAAAAAATTTACGTCGATTATATAATTTTTTCATTTTTATAATTTGCCCATCTTATTAATTTAAGTTGTTCGTAAAAATGTCTTCACAGTTATTCCACAGAAGGTCTTTCGAACTTTATGGAAATGATTTTATAATTAGTTTTTATGCATAAATGTATTTCGTGCATTTTATTCCTCTCTCCTTGGATCGTTTCCAGAATCTTTTCAGTGTTCTGGAATGCCGTACTCCTCAGGCTCAGGCTCACTTCAACAAACCGAAACCGCAAAAGTCCATTGAAGCGTCAGGTGATTTTATAAGGTATTTCATTAAATGAGATACATTTTATTTTTCTTTTTATTATTATTATTTTACTTCGCTAAATAAGCAACTGTCGACTTAGAAACGTGTGACTAGAGGCTTTGCCTATACGAAGTTCAATTTTACTGATGTCCTTCCCATATAAAGTTGGAAATTCTTCTTCAAAAATTGGTTTTAAAATATTCTGCTGAAAGTAAAGTGAACTGCTTTTAGCCTTATATGAGTTTTTATTTTACAAAATCATGCAACTCTCATAAATCCTTAATAAAACTTTTCTGAACCTAGATGAAGCCATTTTGTAGGTCATTTTTGTCGGTTGAGCCGCAAAAAATCAATCTTTTTTTTTATTAAAATCACTTAAATATACTCATGCCTAATCGAGTATTACAGCAAATATTCATTTATCAGTAGCTACGTATTTTTCATCTAATTTTGTACAATGTATTTTTTTCCGCAATATGCTTTGACAAAAATGAACTTTCAGTTTAAACATAATTTTTATCCTCAAATCTTTCTGAATGATTTTACTTACACAGCCAGAAAACATTCTCAGTTCCGATAAAATAGATCTTTGAATCTATGGATTTTCTTTCAGGATCAGAGACTTCATTTTCTTGATTAATTACCCACTTTCGAACACTTTTATGATGCGGTTTTGCGACCATTTTTTCATTTTTACTTTCAGCTAGATGCTTTTTCCATTTCACACTTAATATAATTAAAGTACTTTTCTTTGAAGTACAATAACCTCGATTTTTACGTTGCTTAACAATTTGTTAATCCGAGAATTTTTCCTTGGAAAGTGCATTTACGTAATTTCTGAGCCATTCTTCAAATTTGACGCCACTTCCAAAATAAATCGCTTATTCTGCACTGCACTCAAAACAAAACGGTAGCAGACGATTATACTGAACTAACGAGAAAATTTAAATAGAAAATAGTTTCCTTAAAGTGTGAATGACCTTCTATATGTTATAAACAACTATAAAATTGCTTATCATAAGAACTATAAAATTGCTATAAAATTACTATCAAACAACTATAAAATTGCTTATATAAGTATTGCTTTGATATTCAACTATCGAAACTTATTTAATTTTAGACTTCTCAATTTAGTTAACATTAAAAAATCAGGCTTGGTGGCAGTGTTAATTCTAGTTTAGTAGGAAAGTACAACACAACATTTTTAATTCGAGAACCACTGTAGAGAGATGAGCTTGGAATATGCTGTTGAAGGAAAATCGATCGTACTCTTACTTGGACTGAAATTGAAACCTTCAGATTACTGGTTTAATGTACTATTTATCTGTTATAATACAACAGCGTCTGAATGGAATACCATAATTTCTTATATTACCAACTGGACATCTAGATACTACCATATATTTTACAGTTAACTCTCGATATAAAGAGTTAAAAAAGACTTGGAATTTGTTTTTCTTACTCGAATTTGTTTTTAAGTAGAAAACGCCTTTAGAATACTTTCTTGATTGAACTGAAGCGAATAGCATTATCAATAGCTTCAATGACTTTTATGTTTCGCTCAAATGACAGAACTTCACGCTTTCTTAGCACGCTATATGCACATGTAAATTTTTATTACCCAAATCTCCTTTGGGAAGAAAACACAACATAACAAAATAACAATTAGTGAATAAATTCTAATTAAATCAACATTTCTTACAGTCTTTCATCATATAGACAGATTAAAGAACGATTATATGTTAATGCTTTGTATTAGCAAACTCAGTTTTGAGACGACAAAAATTAATATGCCTGTTCGAAATCCATTGTAAACTAATTTTTCTCTAGACTTAAGTCTCTATGACATCTGCTTCCGCTACGCGGGAGTGGCCGACGAAAGGGACATTTCTAAGAACCCACACATTTCCACAAAACCCACATAGCTAGGTTACCATTTTCACTTATTACAAAGACTTGAACGCCAAACAGTAATCGATTATCGCTCAGATTGGGATCGCATGATCCTTCAGAAGTAGAACTTTCGTCTGATTGGTTGATCTGTACGCGGGGCAGAGTTGCAGACGGTACATTTTTGGCGAAGTTTCAAAATATCCCGCGTAGTCAGGACATGGTTTCCGTAACTAGCCGGAACTGCGCTTCCAGCGGAGCTTTTTCTTCTAGGAACCATCCCTTTCGAATCAATGCTATCAGAATCTCGTTTCTCAGAAAAGTCCTGTCTAGCAGGGACCGTCGCTAGATGTGATAATCCCTTTAGTGTAATCTGCGCCAGAGGTAGAATTCCAGAAGTATCTCTTTTGTATCTGGAACTTGAGAGAAGATGATAGTTTTTCCTCTCTTTAGTTTTGAGGGGTAAGAGTAAAACCAATTAAATCATTGTTTTCAAACGGATTTTCAAATTTGTCATGTGAAAAATATAAGGAGTACGCATAAATACGAACGTATTAAAGATTATTTGAACTTTTTTAATAGAGTTAGAATTTTCTTAATTTTTAGAACTTAAGAAATTTGAGTTTCTTAATTTCTTTAAATGCAAGATTTGTTTATAGTTTAGCATTATTTCAAACATACTTTTATTTTTCTTTCTTATATCTGAGTTTCTTGCAAGAATGTAGACATTAATAACGGACTGAACTAATCAAAGTACTTTTCAGTGCAAGCTCCTCCTACAATTCTTTATCATGTTGTATCTGGAGACGCAGGGCTGACAGAAAACGGTTCCATTGTAGTTTTTCCTGGTACTATCATCAACATTGATTGCATCTTCCAGAGACAGTATGGAACTCCACAGTGGTCCTGGACACCTACGCACAGGTTATCATTGATTATCTTTCATTTATTGCACATATAACTTTTCCATATTTATTATACGTTTACAGATTTTTTCCCTTCTAAATACCCAAATTCCAGAGCCTTCATATCAGAAATCGCAGCTTCTTTTAATAAATAATTCCTTTTCGCCGAGTTACTCCAAAAAAGCCAAAAGCAAAGGTTCTAATTTAAAAAGAATGATATGAAATCTTGCATAAAAAATTCACAATACTTTAAAGAATATTTGAATATCAGCAATAGCATTTCATTTTAAAAAAATATCTGTAATGTAAACATATAACGCAAACGTTTTAAATTTCTTTAAATATTTGCTTTGCTTTGGATTGATTGATCATTTACTTTTGCTTTGGATTGTTTGTTGTTTTGGATTGATTAATCACTGGTACGTCATATTTACTTATAATAAAATCTCTGACTTTTAGTCTGCCTGATTTCAAATTCCAGTTTTCAAAATAGGTGTCTAAATAGAAAGAAACATTTAATCATTTTAACGAGAAATGGTTATCGTTTCATTTCAAATCCCGATAAAAGTGCTTAAACTATTTTTGAATACTTTGAGAAAATTTAATCTTTCTATCATGTTTATAAAATTAAGAAGCTAATTAGGGAAACTGATGAATTTCAGGATTGTTAAACAATGAAATTGTCAAGCACATTTATTTCTCGAAGTACTTCAAGTTATTTAAATTCAAAATCTTCAAAATCAAACCATTCAAAATCTTTGAAAATTCATTTCTGTGAGATTTTCAACTTTGAAAGTTAAGGTAATTATAAATAATTTATTTTCCACTACTGTGTACATCACTGACAGCCATCTGGTGCTCATGAATTACATGCGGCTGCTGAGGCTCTTTCTGCGACCCACGCCTAGGATCAGAATTGTTTATTATTGACAGAATTTTTGAAATTATTCTGTTTTCATGCTTCTAACCATCTTAAGACTGTTTCCAAAGATATTTTGAAATTATTGTAATAACCTATGTTTTTATGTGTTAATAAATAACCATATAGTATATCAATGGGTCTCGCTAATCTATTATTTAAGTAACAGATTACCAAGAATGTAGTTAGTATCGACAAATTTTGTGCTTACGCGAGGAAGCTTACTTATGTTTGTCTAGTTATTTTTGTTGGTAAATTTTTTAGCTAAAATGGACCAAAATTCTATTGAAGACCATATTTTCTTATACAAAACATTTTATGTTTGTGACTGGAAGCATACGGAAATCCTCAGGAAGTGGTCTAGTAGGTTTAAATGCTAGATGCAGAAAGTTGCAACAAGTTCTTGATAATGAAGTTCACTTCTGATGCCTACCACGAGCTCTGGATCCAAGACGCATGGCTGTTGTCTAGACCATATAGAAAAGGCAACAGGCCACATGGAACTCCTCTACATTCAACAGGCAACGTCCTGAATATGTCAAAAATCATTGTGACAATTAACAACAGTGCCATCAAAAACGCTCATTGAATCTCTTTGGCGAAAGAATTCTTGGCGTCTGTACAGTCTTGAATTATCGAACGTTTTCTCCTGGAGACATGTTTAAAATAAAATCTACAGAAATATATCAAAAAGCTATAGATGATCTAACAGAATAGAGATATCAAGTCTGATAAAGTAAGTTTAAATGGTCCAACTCAAGCCGCTGATCGAGAACTCCAACTGAAACGTCATTCCATTAATCTTCTCAAATGACAATCATTTTGATGAAGACTTTTAGTTTCTTTCTCTGAAATAATCTTTTTCCATTACAAAATTGTTCAATTTTTTGTTCACAATCGAGATCCCGTGAAACAACTCATTTGTTAAACCGATATATGCTAAACATAATACATTGTGCAACCTACGACCCGAAAAAATAACTCAAATGGACTGTCGGGAACGCAGAAGTTAACCACCCCAGCTCTATATCAATATAATTTTATTTCTTCATCTTATGACAAAATAACAAATTTATAAAATTATGAATAAAGTGTGATCCATGATTTTTATAAGCATTTTCTAGGTCTGGTAATAAAGGTAGAGTGCAAAACTTTGAGGAAAAAAGCAAGTTTTCTGGTGTTATTCTACAGAAGTATAAAAGATATATGTATACATAGAGTAATTCAGAATAAATAATCCGATTTCAAATTTATATAATTTTAAAAATTAACAAAATAGAATGATAAATACTTTATGAATATATAATGAGAAAATGTCAAAGTTGTAATATATAAACCAGAAACGACCTTAGGTTTTTATTTAAAAAGTCCTTTTTGAAAAAAGGGATACAGTCTGAATAGCATAAATTCTAAACAGTTGAAAGCTTTTTGCTTATTGTCCTTTGCGCATTTTCAATAGGATGGCAGTAGAAAGCGGTGGATCAGATGATTTATTTTTAAGTAGATGATCTCCTAGTTCTCCAGATATGACTCCCTCGGTAGTTTCTTCCTTTGGAGATATGTTATACCCATAAACTTAAACGAACCTGAAAAATGCATTTCTATTGCTCCAGAAAACAACTACAACTGACATAGCGGAACATATTTGGCAGAAATTCTCATTTCGCTTTGATATTATACATGTAATTAAAAAAATTACATCGAACATTTATAAATAAAATTTTAACTTTTTTCCTTTATGACGATAATTATTAAAATTACAAAAATTTTAATTTCATGTACTCTTAAAATAGTTTAAGCAAGATTACATTACTTTTTTATGAAAATTTATGAAAAGCAAAAATAATGTTTTTCATAAATTTTCATAAAAAATTCTGTAAACTGCTGAAAAGATTCTGGATTTCCTTGCGATACCCTATTATGCCCCATACTTGAGTTAACGTCATTTGGTTTTTATAAAGAATTTATTACTGCAACCCAATTCGGTGAATATTTAGGTGATTATATAAAATAAAGTTTTAATTCATTCTATGTTCATTTCTTTCTTTCTGGGGACATAAACTTACAACTAATTTAATTGCAACTAAGGTCGCTTTTCATGAATTTTAATGGATGTTATTTAAAAACTAATAATAAATAAAGTAATAGAAAATAAACTTTTATTTGTGAAAATATCAGAAAAATCTTAGTACATTTATATTTTTCTCTGTTGATTTCAATATTCCATCCATAATTTACATTCATATTTCTGATTCCACAGACAATATCCGAGTTCTTGGGCTATTACTGCTGAGGAAAAGAACTGGAAGTTCCGCTTATCTATTTATTATGCTAAAGACCATGATTCTGGAACTTACACATGCACTACTCCTCATGAAATTAGTAATGAAGTTAACATAGTGGTCAAAGGTATTATGTGTCAACTCGTAACAAGAGATTTCCTTCTTGTAATAGTAAAAATTATCGCTTTATTTTATATATTTTGTTTTCTATTATTATTGTTACTGTTATTGTTATTATTATTATTATTAAACTAATTTATATCTTGTACTGTAGGATGTTTCTTATCAGAAAGTTACTAAAAACTGATAATGTCAATTTTCGTTTGACAGGTACGAGCACACATAAACAGTACGGGGGACACCAGCGATGTACCCTGGGTCAACTAGCAATGTCTTCCCATATTAACTAACCCTTAAAAAAATTGCAAGGAAATAAGCAATTGAAGCTTTCCCCAAAGGATCTACAGTTTGCCTATCATGGAAACTGTGCAATCCCATCGTTCACCCCGCATTCAGTATTTATTAAAAATAATGATTTAGGACATAAACAGATTAAAATACAATTTTAGTACAATTTGAAACTCACTAATTAAATTTAGAACACCAGCATTGATTCAACAAAAATAACAGATAAATATAATAAGTAACAGATAAATGTAATGCTATAATGAACTCTACTAATAATACTGAAGAAGTGTCTACGGTTTTGAGAATAACATCGAAACGTTTCTTTCGCGGTTTTTTTAAAATATCGTAAGGACTAGATATTACTATAAGGGCCAAATTTTTATGAGCATCAAACGGCTTTACATAAAGCAGCTATTTCTAGGAAAATTCTGACGTCTTATGTCATGATCTTTATAAAAATACAAAGATGAAAATCTACATACTAATGAAGTATGGAATTGCTCTTCAGGATAATTAGATGCAAAAAAGTCCATTCCGTCTGAATATGGAATATAACTCTCTCACTCTTTTCCAAATTTAACAGAATGGCTCCTGAATTGTTCGATGGCATCTTTATCAAAATGTGAACCAACAGATAAACATGTATTTGACCACAGTATTTGTGTTGTAAACACAAATAGTTGTTGGATGACGAAGTAGAAAGGATAGCATTTTGCATTTCAAAGGAAGGGCGGTAATAAATTTAACATATTCTGAATTAGAAACTAATGCATATGACTTCTTAATGAATAACAAGCCGCATATCACATTCTATGAGTTACAAAAGTATAAATCTTTATGCAGGTTATTGTAGTTGCTCCAAACAATGTGACATGCGTCCAGTTTGCAGAAGTAGACAATAAGCGATTAGAAGGGATCATGTAATATTACGATATAAATTTTCAATAACACGATTTATACTTGGAAGAAGGATATTGAAACAACAATAGTGTTAAAAAATTAGCTTAATATTTTTTTTTAATTTTCATTAAAGGTTTTTATTTCAGCAGGAATATCAAAATTCAGCCTTTTTCCTCGGGATGACTGTATCTCCTTCAGTGTTGAACCAGCATTAAAAAAATAGCATAACTCAATTAAGAGGCCACATGTAGACAAACACTATAATATATTTAAGATGACATTAAAATTACAGTTTCAAATTTTGTCTCTCTTAGAATACATCTTTTACATGTCATAGAATACCTCTTTTTCAGCCGCTCGTTGTAAGTTCGTTGTTAGAGTAGCGTTGAGTTGCAACGATAATTATGCGCGAAATTTTAAAGGCTCTGTTTTTAACAATAGGAAACAATGAATCCTTCTTCAATAGTCACCTTTCTTCAAACTACTTGATGTAATATTACTCTGGGAGCATGTTTCTATGACGATATCCGAGCCCTTAGATACGTGCGAAACAATATCAACTGGCCGGGATTATTTAAATGTCATTAAAAAGAATCCCTATCCTTTAAACTGATATAGTATTTCTGAAGCTCTAAATTGAAGAAATAGATGCTTCCTGCTTTCTATGACACAGCTTCTAATGTGACAGCTTCCTACACTTACGCAGCTTTCTCTGCTGTAGCTTTTTATGTCATAACAAGGTATGACACAACACAGCTTCTTATGTCATAAATTTTAATGTTTATACTGTATTCGAATGACAAGAATGACGAATTTTCGCAGTAGGTATCGTTGTTCTTGATCCATAGTTTTTGCATTACCTCAAGAAATATGTACTTCAAATTTCTATGCACTTCAGTTTTCATAACTTTTACATATTCTATTTTACAAGCAGCAATAAATGTTTACTTTCATATCATGTTCAGCTTCTACAGGCTTATGTATCCTGACGATATTATTTACCAGTTTCTGAGAATACAGATGTTTAATGACAAAATATACTATGAACAATGTCTATCTCAGTGCTTTAAGCAGATATGGGATAAGGTCGAAATACGTATGCGACGAACTTATCAATGTCTTAAAATTGAAAGATGCATTTAGGCATATTTGGCATGTGAAACACAGAAATACTTTATAGATTCAAATTGTATCTAGAAAAAAAAAGGTGATTTAACAAAGTATAAAGTCAGAGGTCATGTAATTTTGGGCATTCATTGTAGGATTACTCTTTTATCATGCATAGAGTTTAAAAAAAAAAAAAATTATACGTGTGTTCTGTGAAATTGAAGTCTCTTTCTGTTTTAATACCTTATGTTGTGAGTGGATATGTAGATATTACAATTAATTTTATTTCCCTCTATATTATTTTAGTGTACGTTTTTTAGAATTATTCTTCTTATGCTAATACTAACTTTTCCATTATGTTCTTAATACCAGTCCAATTACTTTAAATTGAAAAAAGCTTTTATTTATTACTTTAATTAATTTGATAACTTTTAATAGTTTTGTAAAAAAAAAGCCCATAAATCTGATTTAGACGTAACGAAATCGTTCTTCTTGATCCATAGTTTTTGCACTACCTCAAGAGATATGTACTTCATATTTCTATGCACTTCAGTTTTCATAACTTTTACATATTCTATTTTACAAGCAGCAATAAATATTTGCTTTCATATCATGTTCAGCTTCTACAGGCTTATGTAGCCTGAAGATATTATTTACCAGTTTCTGAGAATACAGATGTTAAATGGCAAAATATACTATGAACAATGTGCGGAGCATATTAAATATTCTGTTTATTTCATATTTGTTTTAAAAAATCTATTTCTTCATTCTGTGCTCAAGACTCATTACCGATACACATAAATTATAATGTAGTATTTCATATAAAAACTACAAACTATTTTTTAGTTAAAACATTGGCCTTTATACGAGTAATCATTAGTTTTTTCTTGAAATATTCTCTAGAAAACATTACGAGCTTTTATAAGTGTCAAATATTTGAGAAAGAGACAAATATCTAAACAAAAATAAAATATATATCTGTAAAATTATAAATAGATAAATAAAATTTTATTTAATTTCCAGTTAACCGCGAATATGAAAGCAAAGCAAATTTACTCTTAATATTGCCTTAAAATACGATATTGAAAGAAAAATGTCAAAAGAATCATATGTTGAAGCTGATCTTACCAGTACGGTTAAGTTACAGGGAAAACGAAAATGTATCATTTAAAAGCAGCGTAAAACTACACCAGCTTTACGTAACTGACTCACTTTCTATATTTATTATGGAAATCTACTTTATGTCTTATTCAAAGCTATTTGTTTCTTTTTTAACCCAGATGTGCACTGTCCAGCGATACGTTCTGTGGATCACAATAGAGTGATGGCAGTAGAAGGCAACAGAATGCACAGCAAAGCACGATTTGCATGTATGGAAGGATATGAACTTGTTGGTCCAGAAGAAATAACTTGTCAAGCATCAGGACAATGGTCAGATGATGCACCCCATTGCGAAGGTATTTTGTATGAATATTTTGCATTCATTTGATCCCGAAATAAACATCTCACTCTTCAACTAATTTTATTTCAGCAATAATATTGTTAAAAATCCTCTTTGGACATTTTTCACTTAAAAATAGAAAAAGCTGAATCCTGATAAATTTTTTTAAATATTTTCATTCAGATGAATGCTTTCAGATAGCATGCAAATCTGAAACCATTACTATCTAAATGTTCAGCATTCCCACACAACTGAATTGAACATTTAAACCAAGAAAGAACGTTCTTCTCATAGTATAACTATTCATAGCTATTCATCTTAGCAAATAACACTGTAACATTAGGTATTTTTGGAAGCAGACAAGATGAAAAATGAGCAAATGCCTTCGGCGGGAGTCGAAGCACCGACTTCCGGAATACCGGCTCTACGTGCAGAACCACTACACCATAAAGGCACGCTAGGAAAGCGGGAGAAATATCTTATAACACTTTACATCACATATTTTAACATATTTTAAAATCCTCAGGATGGTACGTAATTCTCTTGAAAAATGGTATTATACTTCATAGCAAGGCAAGCAAAAAGTATAGGATCTGATCAAACTTATAGCTCTGCTTCTTCAGAAAATCTTAAAAACTGGTTTCTAAGTAAGAGATGTTTGCTAACAAAAAAAGAGAAGGAAGTTAGAGTGTTCTGCAATATTTCTGAGCTTTTAAAACTTATGTACTAATTATCAACTTCATTTTATGCATATCTGAAAAATCTTTCTAAAATGCAGTGTCTAACATTCTAGAAAAGACTTAGAATGGAATGGCGACAGTAGATTAATAAGCTTATAACTTAAAATAATAGGCTTATAATACAAGTGTAAATGACTAATAGGCTTGTAATAGTTATGTATAATCTAATACTGTATTAGCTTATAAAAGTATTAATATAGGCTTATAATAGTGTATTAGCTTGTAATAGTATTAATATAGACAAGTATAAATGACTAATAGACTAGTAGGTTTGCAATGTAAGTATGTAAGTATAAATGTAATCAAGTGAAGTAACTAATCAACTAGTTAAAACTCTAAATTAATGTGTTCATAGTTTATTTGTTTTCTATATTGAAACTTTTCAACGAACTACTTATTCTCGAAAATTTAAATTTAATATTTGTACGCAGCATTGCAACAGCGTAAGTTACTTGAGGCTGAAAGGAAATCCAGGTAACAAAAGTACTGTAAAGTCTATTTTACAAAGAAAAAAAGCATAGAGTTTTTATATATAGAATTTTAATGCAAAATACAGAAAGAAATTATTTCACAAATTTCTCGTCTAATAAAATCCCCTGTTCTAATTGAAAGATAATTTACAAAACAGAAAGTGAATTCATAAATTTCCTGTTTTATTAGAACTATCAGAATTGTAATATCTAATTTGCTGTAGAAAGCCGTGGCAGATATCCATATTAAACTTATGAATTTAAACTTTGCATTCTTTAGGAATATCTTGGCTTGGCAAGGGCTATATTTCTTCCACAGATTTTTCCAGGTCTAGCATCCTTTTTAATACTTGTTTATGTACGCACTAATGTACACTAATCGAATCAACCTATGGCGCTGCCTGCTATGAATCTAACTATGAATCAAACGACGTATCTAAATGCCACATCTAAATTTCTGCGAGCGGTGGTTCAGTAATAATTCTGTGATCAAATACTCAATCTAGTTTTAAAAGGATTTATTAAAATACTAAAATTAATCTAATCTAGAATCGAATCTAATGTTACATCTCATGAGCAGCGTTCGAGCTGCGTCATAACAAATCGAAATTCAAGTTCTCACTGTTGCCATTCCGAGTCAGAGAAAAGTTTCTTTCTAATCAAACCGGAACATCGGTATAGTGAAAGTTTCTAGTGAAACCGGAACAATACTCTTTCAGCATTACTTGATATTCTGCAGGTCAGCTGTACTGTTTCTCACGCAACAGCTGTATTAAAGGTTAAGGATATAATTACATCTACATTCAATAATCTATTTGTATTATATATGAACATCCGTAATTTCCCTGCCTCTAGATTCTTGTTGTTGCAAATATTTAGGAATCCCGACTGCGCTCGAGACATTTCTTGTCATGTTTGTTTCTTGCTTGTATGCGAGCTAAAGAAAATCAGGCTTGTTGTAAAACGCGCTTTGTTTCGTCTAAGCAGTATTGAAAGCAACCTTACTAGGTAGCTATCAAAGGCTATTACTAGGTACAGACAACGACCATGAAAGCATTGAATAACCAAAAATAGCTCTATTTGACCTTGTATAGACTATTCCGTTCGCTTTCGCCCTCATCTATGAGAGAATCAATGCAGAGAATTCAAGAACTGAGTACTTTATTTATGTCAGCTCATGTCTTTTGAAGACAAAGATTCCGAAGTTCTTGATACTTTGTATTCCTAGTTTTCCTCACATTGCTTTTGTACTTTTCTCACATTACTTTAGAATGTCGTACAAATACTACATTATTTTTTGTTTTTCACATTCAAAACAACGACATTACTTTTATTTCTCACATTACTTTTGTATTTTATTTTGTACGACAAAAAATTATTTGATACTTTGAAAATTAAAAATTTATAAAACTTTATATTGACTGTAAGTAATGTAATTTTCTTTTAAAACACCTATTAGAAATTCGGGTTCAATAAATCCTAGTAAACGGCAAAGAACCCATCTGAAATATTTTGCATTTACTGAAATTTCAAGTGAAAACTCTATCATGGAACTTAAATTCAAATCTTCTTCCGAATTCCTCTATGAGGTAAACAAGATTTTCTCTCTCGGTACAAAGGGAATTCAACCGTGAAATGTAAGAGTTCATACCCCTCTTTCCCCGAAGCTATCTAAAAAACCTTAAAACTCTATCTTTTTATCAGATTTTAGGAATTGGAAAGGGAAAATCCACTACATTTCCTTTCTTGAACAAGAAAAAGAAAAAAGTTCTCTTAGGAGCGAAGTTTGGAAGTACTCTTTTAAACCAAAGAAAATGAATGGAACCATATTTTTTTTTCTTTTCTGCTTTATTGTAGTAGTAAAATTGTCCAAATTTTGCAGAAGCTCATTTTCAAAAACCAGCAGAGTTTGATTTAGCTGTATGCATATATTAGAATTAATACACAAAATAATCCATAAAGAAATAATGATCTAGATATAATCACCGATACATTGAAGGCTCGTTTTTGACAACATCATAAATTTAATACTTTTATTGCTCTTAATAAATGGCAGACATAAATATTTCTTATGATTGAAAGTTAAGATTGGTTGGCTATTCTGAGTAAGGCAAAATACGCACAGCATGCATACCAAAAGTGGATGCCTCTCTAATCGATGTTTTCAGGAAAGTTGGTTAACGGTCGCATTGCATATGGGGAAATAAATATAAAAGATTATCTGACCCTTAATAATACAACGCCATCAACAGAATGTTACTGATTTCTACTCAAATTTTTTGCGAAATTTAAATGTAAAAGACACATAAAATTTTGCCACGTTCTAAAGTATTTCTCCCGCCTTCTTAGCGTGCCTTCGTGTTGTAATGGTCAGCTCGACGCATATTAGAGGTGTCCGTGGTTCAAGTCCCGGGGCGGAAATTGCTCATTTTTCACTACTTCAGCTTTCATAAAATACCTAATGTCTCTACAGCGGTGCCCGAACTAAAAGGCGAATCGCCAAATCCTGGTGAAGATGATTCTCCATCACCAGGATTTGGTGATTGGGTCCCCTAATCCCCAGCAGCCCTTTAAAAGGGAGTATATAAGGTATTTCTCATTATATATAGGGCATTGCTCATTTTTCATGTCTTCTGCTTCGAAATAACCTAATGTCTCTAAAATGTTATAAGTAAATCTGCGGAACCACAGAGTCTTAAGAAATTTAACTGTTATATTTTTATTAATAGGTAGCTGCTTTATCCATTTTACAACACATAAAAAACAGAAAGTATGTAGTATTTGTATGTATGACATTCATCAAACCTGTTTGATCTTAATACTTTTTGGCACAGATTCATGAGCATTTATAGTATTAGCTATTCCAGTTAAGTTGCCAAAAATTGTCTTCTTTTTAAATAAAAGTGGGAATGAAATTTTACCCGAAAGAATTAGTTATTTCCTTTCCATGCCTATATAATTATTTTCGAATTAGCTATTTCTTTTACATCTTTATTTACTTCTCATCCACCCTGTTCACTTTCTATAGTAATTGCACTAACACATTTACAACCTTCCGTTTACTTTAATTGGAAAAAAGAAAATTCTTTATAAATTCAAGTCTAGTTTTGGCTTAAAATGCCTCTTAAAATGTACAACAAAGTAATTATTTACGAAAGTATCCGAATCAATTTTCACAAGAAAAGTATAATATTATAAAAAATCTCATTTATAGCAAAGAGCTGAAAAGAATATTCTTTCAGAAAAATTTCTCACATTAAACAACATGTTCGAAAAAGTGGTTACATGTTTTATTTTCTTATATGTTGGTTTTGGACACGTACTTTCACTTATAGTATTTCTCAAACTAACGTGCAAAATTTTAAGGAAGCAATTTTAACAAGATGGACAAGAAGGCTCTGTACACACAGGATCCGTCAGAAAAGCGTGAACACACTCTAACAGATGGTACCCGCGTATTGGTTTCGAGCTTGAATTGATTTATCGTTACAATATATAGCATGGTGTTAGCTCAACACATGCGATATCTTGTGTCTGTAGTATGTGACGCATGATATAATCATAGTGTATCAAATGGCCTTGGTGGAAAGACGTCGTATAGCGAATGTTGCATCAGGTTCTTCTATTTACAATAAAATTAATGTAAAATTCCTTACCTGCTGCATCTTCAGTGTTCTCGACGCCAGGCTTCTAATAATCACGTTTTCCAGTAAGAGTTTCTATTACAATTAGCAGGCCATCTTGTCTTTTAATTATTTATTCAAAGAAAACGCTAATTTACACTATTTACAAGGTAAGTGATAATT